AGTCCAATCTTGCTAGGCCTAGGGAAAGGTAGGAAACCTACCAGAAGTTAATCAAACAAGCTGCTATTTATTCACAATCCTCTTCAAGAACACACACAAAAAGAATGAGGCACCATAAAGCTATGAGTGAAGATACCATATGACATAGAAATGGCACCCAACCTGGCAGGAACAGAGAGAAGGGAAGAAAGAGCCAATCACGCTTGGGATCCTCAGCCTTCAACACAATATGTGATAAGGAGGAATCCCATATCCTGTAAGCAAATGAAGGAGAGAGTTATATAAGGCATCCAAGGCTTAGACTTTGTGGAATTTTGAAGAAAAGGAAATCATCTTCTAAGGACTGCCCAAGCCACACATTCACATCAAAGAAAGTTCAATGTGACTTTTTTCTAATGATACTTAATGGATCAAATGCTACCAACATCTAGCACTATTGAACCAGTAGCAGTATTGATTTCCAAATCAGTTGCTTCAAAGAGAGAAGGGAGGTAACTGCAAATCCAATGGAGCATACAACAGAAAGAGCTCTAAAAGCAGTACTCAAAGAAGTAGCCCTGAGAATTGGAGACAGAATTGCAGGTATCTCATATATTGCCTGAGCTATAATAGTTTGGACACATAGCCTTTCATAAATTCAAACAGAAGCCAAATGTCTAAGAAAAGACATCAGCAGAGCTCATGGAACAAATATCTACAGAGTACTTATAATCTGCAATCAGATTCATGGCTTCTGGCATGCTAGCTACATAGATTGGTGACTCAAGCGTTGGGAGGTAAGCCATCAGTAATGATACTACTAAGTCCTTCTTTTGGGAGAAAGAAACAGTATTTTGGAACATTATTGACAGAGTCCTAGTAGAAAACAAGGACAAAAAGAAAACTTGCCCCCATTTTTTGAAGAAATAGAGCAGGTACAAAATAACATTAGCTTTATCCTTAGTCTAGAACATGGGTGTCAAACTCATGGCGTCACGTTGCTGTTACATGAGGTTTTCGTAGTATTTTTTCCCTTTGCAGAGCTGGGGTGGGTGTGGCCTGTGCATGACGCATACAGCCCTTGGGCCGCCAGTTTGACATCCCTGGTCTGGAGACCCCCAAACGTTTTTTAGACAAAAAGTATAGAAACAATCATTGGAGCTTCCACGCCTGCTAAAACACACATAACATCAAGAAAGCAGACAAGAATCAAGGAAAAAACATTGCCCAAATCAATACCATCACTTCCAAGGTAGGTGGATGTCTACAATTTTTTGGCAAACCTGAGAACACATGTGCAATGATAGATGGGTGTTTGAAATAGTCCTGGGATAGTCCAGAAAATAGTCCAGTCTCCAAAGTGTTTTAATTTTAAAAATGTGTATTATTTACAAATAATGCAAAAAAATTTAAAAGTACTTTAAATTAATCTTTTTCTTTTGCTACTTGATTAAAGCCATACTATTACATGATAACAGTTAAGATATCAGGCTAGAAACCAGGAGACCATGTGTTTAGGCACAAAGCCTCTTGCGTGACTGTGGGCCATCACTTTCTCTCAGTCTTAGGGAAAAGACAATAGCAAATCACTTCTGAAAGACCTTGCCAAGAAAACTGTAGGGACTTGTCCAGATGAATGTCTAAGTGAATGCTAAATCAAATAATTCCCATGGATTAAAAAACACATTCAATAATATGTAAGAAAACATGACAACAGCTTTCATTTGACTATTAACATACATTTGTATTAATGTAAAAGCTTTAGACACAAAATTTACCAGGTTTTGTGCAAAGAAAATGTGTAAAAAATTAAATATTAGCATTTTTAGAAATTTGTTTACAAGGAAAATGCTACAAATACATAAGGAACAGGATTTTTTTTCCATGAGTCCACAAGTCCAGCAAAGTTTTTCAATATGAATGAGCTGGCTTCCTTCTATGGCATTCTCCAACTTTTATAGTTCGATTAATTTGTAGAAATTCAAAGTTTCCCAATAATGCAAATATAAATGTAGTTGCAGCTACATTTAAATTTTAATTATTTGTCTTTATCAGTAACTTCTGACTTTGAACTACTTACATAATTTTTCATAGCATTCTGCTTTTCTCCTCAACTTAGTCCCGTATTGACAACAATGAAAATACTGAAAATAGTAATAACCTAAATCCCATTGCACTAACCCATTTTTAAAAGGACAGAACTATTAGTGTTCAGATAGATAGTAGTGGTTATATTAGTTTCTCAACCTTTGCATTGTCCTAGGAAAAATAGCAATGACAATTCAATTTTCCAATATGAATTTAACACTACATTTATACTAGTAGGTATGAATCTTACCACAATTAAAGATACCAAGCAGTAGTCCTCTGGCTATACTGTCATGAACACACATTCCATAATTATTACTATTACACTTTCGATTTACATACATACATGAGTGAAAAGAAAAGAGCAATCATTGCTAGACTTTATATTTAATTAAATGACGCTGACTCCATCCATGCTGATTTTCTAGAAGTCCTTCAAAATTTGGTTGTGCCATCAGGTCTGGGTAACCCAGAAAACTGGTGAGATACAGTAATTACATTGTTATTGACATCTGGTCTTTGTCTAATATTTCTCTTATTACCTTGACCATCCATCAACTGCAAAAGGCAGCTTTACCTGGAACAGTTTACATCCTGCAATGATATTTTTAACATCATCACAAAACATCTGTCTACCCAGGTCCTTGGGAAGGACTCAATAGGTCGATAAAACCAACCAAATCCAATCTAAACAGCCAGTGGACTGTGCAATGAACCATAATAATAATTATAATTTTGCATATACAGTTTTTAGCCATGTTGTTACCTGGTGTCACTTGTTTTGTGAGAAGTGTGGCCATATAAAGTTGGCAAATAAATAAATAAATTTAAAATAACAAAAATGTATAATTAAGAGATGTCACACTCAAAAGCAAACCAGCAAATACACAGTAAATCTAATTTTCCTAGCCAAAGAAAGAAAAAAATGTCTCAGCATGAATGGAAGAAACTACTTACAGTCCAGAATAGCAATCTCTTAAAATTTCTTAAGATCTCTTAAAATGTGCAATGAAAATCTCTTTATTTCTAAACCATAAACTATCGAGACAAGCTAAGAAACAGCTAGAGCATTAAAATCTCCCATTCACCTTTTGTGGCAAACAACATTTTGACAGTTCAAAAGTTTAGAAGTCTTTGAAAGTTTGCCTTTATTATGTCAAGATGTAAGAACTCATTTGCATTATCTGATTTTTAAATATATTCTCTGGTCTCTCTTCCATTCTGGAAATTATCTGGATAGACCTAGAATCTGAAAAAAGTGTACAAGAAAGCAAGCTAACATTGCAGATCAATGAATGTTTGGAATTTTAAAAACCCAATCGGGGCAGGATTCTACCGGTTCTGTAGAACGGGTAGCTCTGAAGAGCAGCAGACACAGAACCAGTTCTGTGTCTGCTGCTGTTTTGGCCCACCCATCAGCCCAGGCTCTTACCTGTCCTTTATTTCCTGTTTTTTCATCCTCAGCTGCTTTGTGTGGCACAGCTGCGGTTGAAAAGGCAGGAAAAAAGTGCTTTCAAATGCTGCGCACCCGTGCACAGCAGCGCTGCTCAGCTGTCCAGGTAGCTCAGAAGTTTGTTAATTGCACACGCGCACAGTGTGTGTCATGCGCACATGTGCATGAAGCGCGCCTATGTGCGTGACATATAGCCAGTGAACCGGTAGTTACACCAGTTGGATCCCACCCCTGAACCCAACCCTTTGGAGAAGAAAAGGTAAAGCATGTGGCTGTATACACACAGACTCACAAAGTCACCCAGGCTTAATTTCAAGTAATTAAAAATGCAAAATCATCCTCAAATGACAGTATTAAATAGAAACTAGTTGAAGTAAGTCCTTTGAAAATCTAAAGGTATCTTCTGGCAACTAATTTGCTTTTCTTTCCAATCTTCATATCTGATCTAAACTTTAACTTATAAAATGCACTTCTTTCAGAGTTTTACCAATTGAAAGAAAAAAGTGTGGAGGAATACGGAAAATGTTTTTAATATGCCAACAGCAAATGCTTCTTTGTAGTATCGGATTATTAAGACCAGTTAAGTGACTCCCATTAACTAAACTTGGCTGATCCTAAACCTAAGCAGGACCATTCCTGGCTACTATTGTGAGACCAAGAATTTACAGAGCTGCAAGGTAAACTAAGAAGTGAAAAAAACATCTTGGAAGTAGGCAATGGCAATCATATCTATACTTTTTTTGAGGAGTACAGGTAGTCCTTGACTTACAACAGTTCATCTGGTGACTGTTCAAGGTTACAATGACACTGAAAAAAATGACTTATGGCCATTTTCCACACAACCATTACAGCATCCCCATGGTCACATGATCAAGACGCTTGGAAACTGATTCATATTTATAATGGTTGCAATGTCCTGGTCATGTGATCAACTTTTGCGACCTTCTGACAAGCCAAGTCAAGTCAGATTCACTTAACAACTCTGTTAATATGGTAACTTAACAACTGCAGTGATTCACTTAACAATTATGGCAAGGATGGTCATAAAATGGGGCAAAATTCACTTATCTCACTTAGATCTCACAAAAATTTTGGGCTCAATTGTGGTTATAAGATGAGGATTACCTGTACAGTTATCATATCATATGGTCATATCATTATCATATCACAGGAACAAAAATTCAACATGATCAAAAAGGAAATGTTATCTTTTACAAGAATTAAACCCAGCAATATCATTTGTTTAAGGAAATGCATAATCTAATAAGAATACAATAATCACAGCATAAAACGATTCTATGAATTTCAACCCAAAATAATTTTGAATAATGTGAAATTATGAAATTGGCTCATATAAACAATCCATAAAATTACAGTGGCACAAATATGTTTAAGACATGGCAAAAGAAGAAAATTAGAATGCAATAAATATCATCACAGTTGTAAAAGACACATTTGATCGTTGATATAGAGTACTCACCATCTCTTTAGCTATTTCCACAGCTTCTTGCAGCCCATAAAGCCTGCCACAGACTAGGTAAATCCCATTGGCCCAGAGGATACAGCCCTCATGGACCCAAAATTCATTGCTATCAAGAGGTAGTTCAGGAATTTGTAGCTCCAACTCGGGACTACCTTCAGAAGTAGGTATGGGGGGTTTAGAGTCTGAAGAAGTATTTTCACCAACACTGCCACTCTCAGTGGTTGCTTTTTTACAAGCAGTGCCTCTAGAAAGTGACCGAGAAGCCCCAGCACAGTCCTCAGAGCGATGTCGTCTTTTAAAACGTGGGTGGGCAGCCAGGCTTCTCTGTTCTTTCTGCTCTTGTTCCTCCTCTTCTTCCTCTGTGTCAGTCTTGGAACCATTAGAAAGACTTTTATGTCGTACTTTGATCTTGTTTTGCATCTCTGTGGACTTCTTAGGAGGGGGATTCTTAGGCAGTGTGGCTGCATAATCTTGCGGATAGAAAGGTCCAAAGAGATCACCCATGTTGCGGTAGCTGGCCCATTTGCCACAAAGGCAACAGACTAGATGGCCCATAACAGATGACTCTGTTACAACAGGACCTTGTAGCATAAAAGAGGAAGTAGGCAGTACTTTACTCTCAGCGTTGCTAGGAGGTGGCGTTGATGACCTCTGTCCTTTTCGACCTCTCATCAATTTATTCTGCTCTTCTTCTTCTGCATTAATTATTGTGCATACAGCACCTAGCTCGCATTTGTTTACCACATGAATGTAAGGGAAAAAAGATTTATTCCTAGTATCAGTTTTATCAAGAGACTGAATAGCATATTTTAGTTTGATTTCTGGTTCTTGAGGCTCCACAATGGGAGCAGCTCGTCTTGGTTTCCGTTTTCGTGGCTGTGCTGTAGTTTTCCTCCTCTCTCTTCGCTGTCTCTTAGGTTTTGGTTCGCCGTCTACTGCCTCCTCCGATAGCTGCACTGCTTCTGGCACTAATGGAAGCGGTAATTGTTGCTGCTTCTTTTGCTTGTTTACACTACCGATAGGTCTTCCTTTTTTCTTACCAGAAGGGAAATATCCCTTTGGTGGAAAGGGATCTGACTTGGGTGTCATAATGGTACCTCCATCTTTTTCTTCTGGCTTTACATTTGTTTCAGGAGCCAAAATATTGGTTGGCTGAATTGATTTTGATTCAGAAAAATTTACAGATCCATCTATTCTTCCTTGACCAAAAGATTTCTGCGAAGATGCTGGAATCAAGACAGCCACTGAACTGTCCTTGCCAACAGTGGCATGTTCAGAAACCTCTTTTTTCACAATCTCATCTCTATCATCATGCCAATCTTCAGAAGATATTGTCCGAGAAATTTCATTGGTCAGTACTTGATTTTCTCGATCTAACACTTCTACTTTTATATTTTCTTCGCCTACTTCATGATTGACAATATTCCCACTCTCTGGGCGGCCACTCTTTAGAGACAGAATATCATCAAGAGTGACTGCATCTGCACCAGTCTCAGCACAATTTGAAGATGCACTCCTCCTAACACTGGGAGAGGTGATTTTTTGAACAATAGCTTCCAACTTTAATCCACGACCCTTTCGTGGGGGAAGAATTTTTGTTTTAGCTGGGCTTGTGATGGAAACACCGGAACAGTTTCGATTATCAGGACTTGGAAGATTCCTAGATGATTCTCCTTTTGAGAATGATCTGCCAATATCTTGGTTTTGAGAGGAATGGGCATAAGAATTGAGAGTTTTATCAACTCCATCCTTTGATGAAGGGAATATGCGTCCTTTGTCATCAATCCCACTAGTTTTCATTTCCTGCAACTGCCTCTTGCTTGGAATAGGAGAAATGAATGAGCGGACTCGTCTTCTCATTATTAAAGGATTTTGAGGAGATTGATCTTCTTGGCCAGGAATTCTTACCATGGCATTAGCAGATTTAAGTACATCACCAACATCATCTCGCCTATGTGTATCACTATTTTGTGAAATAAATCTCTTCTGACTTGTCCCTAGAGAGCCACTGTTCTTTCCAGGAGTTAACTGACGGGAAAGATCCCAACCTGATTCATGTTGCTGAATCTTTTGATTCATGTGTTTAATTTCCAAACACTTATTTTGATGAGTGCTTTCTCCCCCCAACAAACAACGGTTGGTTTCTTGGCACCCCACATCATGGTAAGAACCAGAATGGAGATACATCATTCCATCCTTGTCATTTTTTAAAGGACTCCTTACTCTATCTAAGAATTGTTGCTGTCTTGGGCTCTTTCTAGCTGTCTCCTGCCTATGTTGAGCTGCAGCAATTACACCCTGAGCAGAATTGCTACTCCAATCTTTATAATCCTCTTGTTGTTGATGGTATAGCTGTCTTTTATAGTGATACTGGGAATTCAGTCCTTGGTTGGGATCACCATAAACATGGGATCGGGAATTACCATGATATGCTGAAGCCAAAGATGAACTTTCAGAATTTGAAGAGAAAGAAGTATGTAAGGAACTCCGGTTGACCCTGTCAGAAAGCACCATATGTGGATTCATCTGATGAAGATCTGTCCCTGGACCTCTGTTTCTTCCAGGTGACATCTTTAACTTATCTGCCAGATCATGAAATTGAGAGGGGGATTTACCTCTCATTCCTTCTCGGCTGCTTCCTATTCTGCTAGGTCCTCGTCTCATCTGTGTTGTTCGGCTATCCTGTTGTAGCAGGTAGTCTGATGCAGAATCAAGTGTTGCAGCTCCAGGGCTAGCATTCCCTCGGTAAGATTCATGTTTAAAACTGGCATGGTGACAATGATCTCCCGATTTTTTGTTGTTGAGGCTGGCAGAAGTCTTAGGTTCAAAATCCTCCTCCTTAATCTGCCCACTGTGAGACTTTAGTTTGGCTTCTATGGCTACGAGGCCACCAGGGAGGATGACTGACTGATTTAAACCAGAAGTCAGACGGTCACTTCTTCCACTCCTGCCATCAGTACTTATATGCCCTCCAGAATGTGGCCCAGAATCTCTAGCAATCTGCCTCAAAGGTGATATATCACAAATAACTGATCTTCTCTCGGAGACTCCTCCAGCTTCATGAGCTGTAGAATCTAAGTCAAACTTTCTAGGTATAGGATAATCTACCAAATTTATCTGTTTTATCTCGGCTGTATTGCCACTTAATTTTCTATCCCAGTGTCCCCAGTGTGAACCTTCCATAAGAGATCCAATACTTTTATTTAAAAGGCCTCTGTTACTTAGTTCATTTGTTTGATTAACCAGAACATTGGGTCTCATGCTACCTTCTAAACTTCCACTGATTCCATGCTGATCTTGGGCATTTCTAGAATATCTCCTGTCAGGATGATGGTGATAGCCTTGCAGAACTTCCTGCAATAGACTGGGAAATTTTTCATTCCTGCCCTTTCGCTCACTATGCATTGAAAACTCTTTATCCTGGCCTGAAGGATATTGTGAAAAGGTACCAGAAGTTCTTTGCATATTAACCCCAATACTATCTTTGAAACTGTACCTCAAGCTAGCAGGGGATTTAGAAGGCTCTGTTCTGCTTGAGAAACTAGAGCCAATAGCAGCATGACCAGGTGGATTGTTTCCATCTTCATTATGATTAGTGCTGCTGTCCCCAGCTCTGCTTCCTTTATTTCCGCCTTGTGACTCTTGCTGAGCTCCTACAAGACCAGTCTCTTTCACTGCAGAGGCAGAAGGCAATGCTTGAGCACTTGTAGAAGCATCATCTTGTTGGGATTTATCCTGTCCACTTGATTTTTCCACTCTTCCTGACATAGCTTCTCTGGAGACTATCACGCCAACTGTCTTTTCATTGATCTTTGGGGGGACCTCCACAGAAATCAAGGCCTCTTTTCCATCAGGAGGGGAGGATGCTTCTTCCTCAACTGCAGAGCTGGTAGTGATTTTTGCAGGTTCATTTTGAGATGGCTGTGCTGGTGATGACTGAGATTTCTCTAAATTACCCCCCTTATAAGTGGTGTCAGAACTGGTGCTCTGACCACTCAATTGTCTCACCCTTTCTCCTTGATCTTCTGAACTACTGGAACAGCCACCATCAATGGACTCTGCTAGTGGAGACTTAAGCTGTTCTTCTGCCTGAGAGGAACCTTCTGAGTTTGTACAGCTCTCTGTTTTTTTTGATGATTTTTTTGAGCTTTTCTTCTGGGGCACCAAAGCATCTGAGAGTAACATGTGCTGAACTGTATTGGGAAGATTAGCTACTTGACTACTCAGGGCACTTAAACTGCTTAGTCCTGGATCTGTAAGTCTTTTTTCCTGCAAGCCTTCAAGCCCAAATCCTTTGAACCCTGCACCCTGAGCACTGGGACTTGGCATCATGGAAGGTGTTGGACTAAGCTGAGGCATCATTTGTAAAATGCGGTTTCTAGAGGCTACTGGAATGTTGCTTTGTCCACACTGAAGATTCTCACCACTTGGCATGAGAGGAGATGGTGTGGAACTGCAGCTTGGAGATTGAACCACAGAGGCAGCTGGTGACGGGTTAGATATAGGACTAAAATTCTGATGGAACTGCATGGGTGATCTTACAGGGACCTCAGCTTGATTGTACTGTCCCACTTGACTTTGAAGAGACAATTTGGAAGCAGTATTTGAATACTGCATTACATGTTGCGAAGGAGCCTGCTGTTGTTGTGCCTGTTGTCCTTGTCCTTGTGCCTGTTGAGTCCCTTGGGTCAACTTTGACTGCTCAAAGTTTTTCATTGGCTGTGTCTGAAAGCTATAATTTGACTGAGTCCCGTAAGCTTGTGCACTTGAACCTACAACAAGTCCTTCATACTGTGAACCAGCATTCACAGTATAATTACCATCATAGTTCTGTCCAGATTGACCAAAACGTTGAGGAGAAGGAAATGAAGAAGAGGAAGAAACAGGAGGTTGATAGTGCTGACTATACTGACCTATTCTTAATGGATAGCTAGAAGTAGATGAAGGCAGATTTGAAGGGCGTTGAATTGACTGCAAATGAGGTGTGTTAGAGGCAGATTGGTTGGAGGCCTGTGGTAAAGGCTGATGAGATTGATAAAGCTGCTGCCTCATTTGCTGCGCTTGTTGCTGTTGTTGGCTAGATGCTGGCTGCTGGTACTGAGCAGTGCCTGGGGAGAAAGGACCAGTATAGTCCTGCTGATAATGTGTTACTCCACTAAGTGACGAGTGTTGTGTTTGAAACTGGTTCACGTGACTTTCACTTCCATACTGACTCCCAAAGCTGCTGCCTTGAGGTGGTCCATAGCTCTGTACTGGTCCAGAAGGCCTACGCTGAGGAAGCTGTTGTCCTCCTGCTGCTGAAGGATCCTTGCTGGATGCCATATAATAGAATTCTCCTGCTTCTTTTCTGAAACCTTGATAACTCTGATGTCCAGAGCTTTCACTACCCATAGATGCAGAGTTTCCTGTTGTTTCACGACGTCCACTAGTACTGCCACCTCCTCCAAAGCTCTGAAACATCTGAGCTTGCTGGCGAGTGCTAAATTCCTCTAGCCGGGATGCACCATGTACTTCCTGTGGGTAGTTCTGTTGGTTTCCGTGGTAACTGCTCTGCTCCCGAAAGGACTGCATGCTGTTCAGCTGCGGATTGACAGCTTAACAGCCTGCCTGAAAGAGAAAAAAGATAAATAAATGAGCACAACTGTTCACGTCTCCCAAGTCACAGAAATATACATATTATCAACTAACTGACCTAGTACTGTTTTCCCCCTCAGGACATTAAGAGCATGAATTTCTGCTATGGAAACAGAATAGGAGGACAATTACTGTATTTTATAAGAACATTTTAGAAGATTGTTTTTATTAGTTATTTTCCACCTATTACATGTTAGAACTGCTGTGACAGATATCAGAATGACCCCGACCCCAAAAGCAATTCCATATTGCTTACAATAATGTTACAGCAGAGGATATTTGAACTGGAAAAACTTTGAAATAGTTTTAAAATATTTATCTGGTTTGAAAACATATCTATGGTGTGAAAAATACAGAACGTGCATCATATTAATCAAGGAGCAAATACCATGTTCTATGAAGTGAATTACAACTCCAGAAAAATAATCACCAGGTTGAGCATAACTTAAAATTACAAGTAAGACATCACCAATGATGCTTTTGGATTTTATAAAAGATTCCTATATTCCCATTTTTCGCTGTCCCAAAATTCAAACAATAATTTCACATAAACAGCAATATTAATATTTGTACACATTCATCACCTCGCATAGTTAAAAATCTGAATATAAAATTTAAGCAAAACAAATTTAATGTAAAATAGCTGGATACTCCCACTGTGACTCTAAATATTTAATTCAGGTTATGTCTATCTTCAAATATATGAATGCAGTCTGATTTAAGCATATGTTTATCAAAAACTATAATTTGTTTTAAATTACTAAAGCTGAGGCAAGTACTAAACAATTAAAATTGTTCTAAGACTTGCTAGTGAAACCAAATCAAATAACTAAATAAACCAATTAATTTACTTCCTCAACAATCTTTAGAGACCAGAACTTGACTAAATTTGGCTGATTCCAGAAGCTAAGAGTGTTAATACTTGGATAGGAGATGTTTGAGAATTCCAGAGCTATCGACTACGATAATATATGCTTTTGAACGTTGGTGTTGGAGAAGACTCCTGAGAATAGCATGGAGAACCAAGAAAACAAGCAAATGGGTTATCAAACAAATAAATGCAGAATTCTCACTTAAAGTACAAATGACCAAGCTCAAATTAACCTACTTTGAGCACATTATGCAAAGATGTAGTTCTTTTGAGAAAGTTCCAACGTTAGGAAAAATAGAAGGAAAGACAAGAGGGCCAGTAGCAAAATGAATAGTCTTGGTTACAATGGCAATAGGTACTCCACAAGTAGATTGGAAAAACCAAGTTTGGAAAAATTGTAGTGGTGAAAAATCTCGTCTATGTGGTAACTAACAGTTGAAATGATTTGATGACATAGAATAGGGCAAGAGTAAAACAGTAAAAATATATTCTAGAAGAAGGCATTAGCAAACTCTTTTAAGTAATTTTGCCAATAACTTTGAATGGATAGTTACCTGGAATTAAGCTCACCTTTACACAACAATATGATAACAAATATATCTGAAAAAATATTGATAGACTAGAAAATGAATAAACTACATCTCTGAAGAGGTGTTATAAAGCTTATGAAATTGCAATTGAGATGAGTAGTAGTATTGGGTAATACAGGTAGTAGTTAATTTATAACCATCTATTTAGTGACCATTTAAAGTTATAACGGCTCTGAAAAATGGCACTTACAACAATCGTAGTATCCCCATGGCATATGATCAAAATTCGAGATTGGAAACCAGCATGTATGGATGACAGTTGTAGCATCCCGGGAATCTTGTGATTGACATTTATGACCTTCCCAGCTGGGTTCTGACAAGGAAAGTCAATGGAAGAAGCTGAACTCGCATAGCAACTGCAGTGATTCACTTAACTGCAGTGATTTGCTTAACAAACATGGGAAAAAGTGTTGTAAAATCGGGAGTGAGTCACTTAAAAACTGCCTTGCAGAAACATCTGCAGAAACAATTTTGATCACCGCATAAGTTGAAGACTATCTACCTAGACTACCCATCTATCAGTTATACTATAAAGCAAAAATATGTAGATTTGGTCATATTTACTTTACCTTTTGAGTGAAATAAATTTTACATACATTTTTAGTTTCCTGTAAAATTTGTGGAGTAATTTATTTAAATGAACTCTTAAAAAAATAAAAAATAAAAAGCTATATTCTCTTCCTGTTATAGAAACCAGTTTTCTGGAAGATTTTCTGTAAAAAACATTTATAACATTGATATATATAACCACATGACACAGTTGATTACAGGAGTATTTCCCACAGAAGCCACACTCCAAAAGAAGAGAACTTCTATTGACTTCTCTGAGTACAGGTGTACTACAGGTAGTCCTTGACTTACAACTGGTCATTTAACAACCATTCATAGTGAAGACAGCTCAGAAAGGATGCTATACTTCTTCAGTCCAGAGAATATACATGGGGTGGGGGAGGGGAGAGCATGGATGGGAAGGGAACTCTTATGGTAGGCTGCAGAAATTAAGCTCATATCCTTTATATCTGAGCTCTGTTCCTGTACCCAACCAATGTTCCCTTCTGCGCATGGGGGGAGCCGCCTTGCTTCTATTAGCTGGCAGCTCTTTCACTTTGCTTCCTTAATGACCGCAATTGGGAAAGCTTTGATTATGGTCATTGGAGTGAAATGTATGAAGAAATTGTAAGCAGCTATTTGAGAAAATAAAAATGTGGATGGCCAGTTTATCATTAAAAACACTACACAATAGAGCCTACATCTATACTCTGACACTTTCGCTCAGAGAAAAATATGTGATTCCTCCCACCCACCTTCTTCAATCCTTGATGTGAAACCAAAAAAAAAGGCTTGGCTTAAAATTATCTAGTCAGCTTTATTGTGTAAGAAGGCTCAAAACCAAATCTTCCCAGTCAGTGTTAATCCAACATTTTTACTAACCTAATACATGATGAGTGATTGTAACTGTGACCAATGACAGCTGTAGTGTAATATATGGAAGGTCTCAAATAGCAGAAAGCTACAAGTCTGTGGGAAAAGCTATACTTTGCTTCCATTCAGACTTTGGGTAAAGTCACATAAATTATGAAAGACAAATCTTATCTACTGTGTCTACTAAAGTGTTCTAGGAAATCTATGAATTTAAGAAGTTGCATAAAATATGCCACATCTATTTTACACAGTTTAAGAGTTCTGGTCTAAGTCCAGCAAATTAGTCCATCTAAACAAATTAAAGTTTAAAATGAATTAAATTACATTATGAGAAATAGAAGGACCCAACGAAGAGCCTTACATCTTCTATCCACAATAACATTCTACCTTTTTTTTACCTTATATGTTCAAAATGAATATTCAAGTTGGCTTTCAATTTAAATGTTATATATAAAGAGCATAATAAAAATAAGTTATATCATAATAAAGTCATTTATCAAATTCATTTACAGGTCATCCTCACTTAACAACCATTCATTCAGCAATTGTTCAAATTTATGATAGTGATGAACAAGTGGTATTTATGTCTGGTCCTTGTACTTACATTGCATGTAATCATGTGATCATATTCTGGGAACACAATTATGTTGCAGCATCCTGTGGTCACATGATCAGAAATTTGCTGACTTCCTACAAGCAAAGTCAATAGGGAAGCTGGCAAGAAATTGTGATCATATGACATCTTTGTTTAACCACCTGCAGTGATTCATTTCACAACTGGTGTCAGAATTTCCATCGGTAAATGGCACAATCATTGATGTTGCATTTTATGATCCTATTGCTTATCAATGGAAATTCCAGTTCCAATTACCTCCATTAAGTGTTTCATTGTTGGAATAATATATTTGAATTGTTATAAGCAGCTAAGGCTAGAGTTAAAACACTAGAAGTATAATATAGATTTGAACAAATAAATAATACTTCCCAAAGTTACAATAGACTGCATAATTTTATTTCAAAAATTCAGCAGTAAGAAGATAAAAGCAACAAGACTGTTTGAGGTTTTAACATTTGTAATCAGCACATTTGTATACAGATCACATTTTTCGCAAGTAAAATATATGAAACCTAAACATCACTACTCCCCTCACACATACACACACACTGATGTACTTTATCCAATACAACTTTATACAGTGCTTTTATCACTGTTGCTACTGCTCAGAAAAACACTTTACCATTCTCCCAATAGTCTATTATCAGTGACACTGTTTTTCCTGAAGGAATAAAAAGGTGGAAAAGAAGATGCAGGAAGAAGAGCAATAATAAAGGTGAGATAAAAAAAAATTAACAAACTTGAGAAAGCAAAAGAAAAAAAAAGAAGGAAAGGGGAAGACAGGGACTAGAAGGAAGTGATTACAATTGATGAAGAGAAATCAGAAAAGTACATGTTAGCTTTTAGGGAAATCTCACTAGCTTACCTCACACATGCTACGACAAATTAGAATACAAGAGTTGGTGTAATGTGTAAACTGCAATACCAAGCCAGAAAAGAAAGGGACAACAAAAACAAATTAGAGACAGCACTTGTGGATAAATGAGAATTCCACATCAACATATTGGCTGATTTTGATCTACAAAATGCTTCATCTCCCAAACTGGAAGGTTTATCCACTGCAATATTTCTTTATGCAACCAATGTTGCAACTACCTCAATAATCTTAACTAGCTTCAGCAAAGATAATTTTCTTACTTTGGTCTATTGCTGTATAGAGGAGCAACTATAAATGATCAAAAACCAAAGGTTGATTTCCTTTATCAAAAGGCCTGTCAGTCATGCATGGTTAATTAATACACATGGAATTATTCTTTAGTTTTTGATAGAAATATAATGTGGATTAAGTTTTAGACATCAACTCCATCAAAAACAAAAGCACTTCAGGTTTCTTGGAAGCAACCAAAGCATCTGGCCCATCTGGAGCAGACAAAACATGCCTGAGTTGATTATGTGCCACTGTTGTGAAATAGGTAGGCCAAATTTTACTGGGAATGTTGCAAATATGAAATCCAAATTTCCCAATCCTTCACATACAGGTAGTCCTCAACTATCCAAAGTTAAGAGCCTCAGAAAGAGTGTTTTACCACCTGTCATAAAACATCACACACCCCTCATATGACTGCAGTTCAGATACTTGGTAGTTGGTTTACATTTACAACTGGTTGCTAAATGATCTGTGATCATCAGAAAGTCAATGGGGAAGCCAACAGGGAAGGTTGCAAACACAGAGGAGGGGGCTGAAATCCCTTGGTGAGCTCCATGAGCCAAAATCATGAAGATTTCAGCTCCATTCCTGCAGTCCCATGAAAGTTTTCTCTTCTGTGCATGGAGGAAATACTTTGGTGAGCTGCAGGAATGTTTCGGAGTGAAAGGGCTGCCTGCCAGAAGGATTTCAGATACACATAAAGCTGAAATCCTTGCAGTAAGCAGCCTTTTTCTCCATCCATTTAACAATCTGGGAGATTTCTTAAGAACTGCAAATGGGAGTTCTGAGATTATGGCCACTGCACAAAGTACTTAAACGATTGTCTTACTAATGACCAGTTCCCTCAATAACAGAGATTCCAGTACCAACTGTGGTTATAAGTCAAATATTACTATGACAATAAAAATAATTTACGAACTACTTAGTTATGTAGTAACTAAAACATCAGAAAAAATATCTTAAAAGTATTGCAATGAACAAAAGTGATCCAGTAAACAAGGGTTCACTCTACATAGGCAAAATCCAGAGAATACAAACAGAAACATGTATTATTATACAGATGAAAAATTACAAATATAAAATATCCAGCAACATATATTTTTTAGGAAAATTTAAGAGGTATCTATGAACTAACCTCAGAGACCCTGGCTGGCATAGTGATTAGGGCTGCAGGCTAGAAATCAGGAGTTCATGAGTTTTAGTCTTGCCTTAGGCACAAAGCCAGCTGAGAGTGACCTTTACCCAGTCATTCTCTCTCAGCCCTAGGAAGCAAGCAATGGCAAACTTTCTGAAACCTTGCCAAGAAAATGGCAGGGATTGGTCCAAGCAGTCACCAGGAATCAACAACAAATCAAAGCACATCTATGCACAAAAACAGAATCAACCTCACATTAAAATAAAAACCACCTCCAGGTAACTGCAGCAAACATGAATGTTATCATTTCCTACATGTACTTAGAACAACAATAGTCTCACTACAATTACTTCTCAGTCTCCTCTGATTTGAAGTCTCTAGTTTTAAGATAGGTACTTAGCCTCTCAGTGATGATAGCAACAATATTTCTGACAGGAACAGATTTCCAAAATAGTGGAGTCAAAATGCAGAACTAACATTACCACTGGTAATCAAAGTTGTTTACAGCTACTGTAGGAACTGATTCTTAGTCCTGCTCTCTCTGCTAATTCTTCATCTAGGACAAAGACAAACCTTAATAGATTTCAGTCCTATCTGAAATCTATTAAATAAACTAGGCAACCCGGAAGTAATGGACACCTCTCGATGTGGAAAAATAGTAAACTACTGATAACGATAGTGATTCAGCTATCCACCCCAGGTCATCAAGAGTTCTATAATGTCTGCCTCCTTTACAAATTGTTTCTGGACCTTAATGGATTCACAGACTTTCTTACTTAGATGGAAAATGTGAATCATATAATATTGCTTTAGGTTATTCAAAATCCAAAAAGGGAAAGAAAAAATAATTTTTGGAAGATCCTGTGTGCTATAGGGGAGAGGGTAGGAATTTGGCAGATGATGTGGCTAAGAGAAAAAGTGCCAAGCAAACTGCTGAAGACATCATCAGGCAAATTCAAGTAGAGTCAGTTCCACAAAAACATATATACAAAATATATGACATGTTAGGTTGTATAGTAATATTCTGCTTTTTCTTAAGAAATTCAATCACCAACTATAATCACCACAAGATAGTTAGGGCAAACTTACCACTAACACAGCTTCATAGTTGAACAGAAACTTGATGCCACACTTTGGTTATGACAGTTTGCCATTGTGAATTGTTTTCAATTATATAACTACAATACCTACAATTGAAGTGTTATATTATTTCACCAAAGGGAGCATATATATTGTAATAATTTTATAAAGTAAACCAGTAATAGTAATAATAATAGCAGCAGCAATAGCCATGATGGTACAGTGGTTAGAATGCACTATTGCAGGCTAATTCTGCTGATTGCCAGCGGTTCGATCTTCACCAGCTCAAGGTTGATGCGGCCTTCTATCCTTCCAAGGTCAGTAAAATGAGGACCCAAATTATTGGGTGCAATATGTTGACTCTGTAAACCATAAGGCACTGTGAAACGGTATATAAGTCTAAGTGCTGTTGCTATTAAATCTCATAAAAACTGTTTACACATATATCTACCACCAAAAAGCTATTTTACCATTCATGAAAACTCAATTATCCATATATTTGTATTTTTTGCTCTATCAACACTAAATCATTAAATCTTTGACATGACTCCACTCATCTTGTGCAGATTGATGGTAATGTCAAAAGTCATGGGATATATTATTAGTTCAAACAATGGAGATCAGTGTGAAAAAAATACCAGATCTCTGGTTGTAACAGCTAGGCAACTAAATGTGAGGGATAAACTATTTTTGAAGTTAGTATTTTAAAATAACCAGCAAATGCCATTACAAAAACATCCACAAATATTTTTATAGAAGTACATACAAGTGCTTAACTTACAACGGATGCATAAGACCAGGGATACTGCCTGGGGGGGGGGGGAGATAAGTATTAGAAAGAGTAATGAGACTCAACTATTGAAAGAGACGCTATTTACTATTCCTCCTCCCACATCAAACCTTTGAATCCCTTCATTATACTTTCCTCTCAGACCCCTTTCTTCTCTCGAGATGTACATGCGTAAGGAACCAAGCACGGAAGTATGACAGGGAACTGAAAGGTCTGTGAAGGAACCCCCGAGGGGCGGATTTAGCTGAAATAAAGGACTTTCTGCTGTCTCCCCACTTCCGATCCGCTCTAGGTGTTCCCTCTCTTCCTGGTCCAGACATCTATACAGGTTGGGGGAAGGAGACCCAGATGCTGCGGCCCAGAAACTGCCTGGCACCGTCTCCTTCTCCCACCCCGCCCCTTCCATCAAGGCCCGCAGGACGGCTTTAAACGTATGGAGATCATTACCCAAGCCTCGTTCTCCTCCCCGCTCCCCCCCACAGAGAGGGGAGCGCGGAGTGGACAAGATTTTTTTCAGTGGCGCGCGGGGCAGCAGGGATCTGCTTCTGTCCGGAAGCGGCTCCGCAGTAACAGACCGAGGATTTGTCTCTCCATTCTCCCCTCACAGAGAGACACACGCAGGAAATAACACAGGGTCAGCTGACAAAGCCGGGCCAATGACGAAGGGGCGAGAGAGCGCGCGCAAAAGGGAGGAGTACAAGACAGCGGGAGTGCGGGTGGAGCGTGCGTGCGTGCGTGCGTGCGTGCGTCAAAGGCGCATAAAAAAAAAAAGAGCAGCAGGCACCTCCCTCTAGGTCGAGTGTTTAAAAAGATAGTGCAGGTTAAGCGCACCTCAGTCGGTGATGAGAAAGCAAGTTTACGGTAGGTTAGTGCTCGATTGTGAAGAAACGCTGTGAAAACGGTATTTTGTCGCCTCTATGGACTCAACAAAGGGAGCCTTTGCCACCTATTAAATCCACTGTCTGCACCGGAGATCCCGGGGAACCGTAGCTCCTAATTCCTTGGGGTGCGCTATGGCCCAGAGCCCGTTAAGAGCCTAGATCAACGGCAGAGCTCCAACCGCCGAACTTCCAACGGCTGAAGGCCGGATCCCGGAGTGCTGACTTTCCAACTGTTGCCTAAATTACTACCTACACCACTGATCGGAGGTCCTGTTCGCAGAGCTCAGCCCTACTTACTCAAGCAGCAGCCTAATTCTCAAGATCGCTGACCAAGACAAGGGGATCCGTGAAAAGACAGACCTGATCCCTAAGTTCGCTAGGTGATGATCTGAAGTGACAAGAGAAGTGTAGCCTTCTGCCAAAAGATGTTCACCTACATTTTTCAGCCTAATACATCCTCTTTGTATACCCCCCAGTAGCCACCAAACCTAACCTCCTCTTTCCTTCGCCCGACATCCCAATTATTCTCTTCCTGCCCTAATATTTTTCCCCTCAATATAACTGTTTAATTGATAAACTGATCTTAACTAATTAATTCTTCAATTATTTATCTTTAGTGATTAATAGATTACAGATTAGTGGCTAATGGTTATTACTTAGGCTAATTTATTGTTTTGAATATTACTATGATCAGAATGTTTAATGTAAATTAGTGATTAGTGCAATTAATTGACTAGTGTATTTAGTGATTAGTATAATTATTAGAGTGATTATTGATTAAATTAATTGACTAGTGTGTTTAGTATAATTGACTGTTTGGTGTGATATTACTTTATTATCTTGTTGGGTTGAGAACCCAATCAACAAACCATCTCAACATACCCACCATGCCAGGAAAACAATCCAATGTCAAACCACAACCTAAAAAGAAAGAAAACTCTACTAAAGAACCACAAGATTCTTTCCCTTGCCTTATAAGCCAGGAATCTATAAAAGAGAATGAAGATTACATCAAATGTTCTCTTTGCGATACTACGCTCACCATAATTGCTTAGGATCACCCAAGCAAATGACTCTATTCCTAAAATCATCCACCAATGCTTTTCCATATTTCTGCCCACCATGCAGACCCAAACTAGAAAAATACATTACCCTGTTTGAAAGAGTTGATAACATAGAAACATGTATAACTTCCCTTGACACCATTGTAGCATCCCTGGACACTATACAAACTAGACCGACAAACCTTGAAATAAAAGAGACAACACAAAAAACCGAACACCAAACATCTACAAACCATACTTCTGCCCAACAACTGCAACCAAAACCCAATCCACAAAAAATCCTTCAAATATTGATATCCCCATCCTCATTAAAGAAGCTGTTGAGCATGAACGGAAACAACCAAATGCCATCTTATTTGATCTAGAGATCAATGACAATGATTATATCACTAACGTTCAAACATCATCAGGGAATATCAAGCATCAACTATCTCCCGTGATGAAATACTGGCAAAGAACAGGTAAGACGTTTTTGGCAGATAAAAGTATATCGAGTTAGTCCTTGACTGAGGACCATAATGGAGTCTGGACTTTCCATTGTAAGTCATGATGGTCATAAGTTGAGGCACTCATGTAACTAACCTGATTTTATGATCTGTTTTGCAGTAGTAGTTAACTGAACCCCACAGTGGTAAAGAGAATGTGCCTGACCATGGTCATTAAGTCAGTCAATGCATTCCCATGAGCATTTTTTGCCTGAAGTGTAAATTGTCAGTGGACCATGAAATGCTTCAATTGGCCATAAAAGAGCCAAGTGCAGTGATATGACTGCATGCGGGTGTGGGTGTGTCTGTTGGCACTCCAGAGCTGAGTCATAGGTACCTTCTGGAGATCTGTTGTAATCTCAAACTATAGTTAAGTGATTGGTCTTTAAGTAAGGACTATCTGTATTACAGTATTCATGATAAAAATACATTTCGCTGAAGTCCAGTTTTGAAACCACTGCTCAAAAAAATAAAGGGAACACATAAACAACACAATGTAACTCCAAGTCAATCGCACTTCTGCAAAATCAAACTCCACTTAGGTAGCAACACTGATTGACAATCAATTTCACATGCTGTTATGCAAATGGAATAGACAACAGGTGGAAAGCAGAGGCAGTTAGCAAGACATCCCCAATAAAGGAGTGGTTCTGCAGGTAGTGACCACAAATCACTTCTCAGTTCCTATGCTTTCTGGCTGATGGTTTGGTCACTTTTGAATGCTGGCGGTGCTTTCACTCTAGTGGTAGCATGAGACGGAGTCTACAACCTACACACGTGTCTCAGGTAGTGCAGCTCATCCAGGATGGCACATCAATGCGAGCTGTGGCAAGGTGGTTTGCTGTGTCTGTCCGTGTAGTGTACAGAGCATGGACGCGCTACCAGGAGACAGGCCAGTACATCAGGAGACGTGGAGGAGGCCGTAGGAGGGCAACAACCAAGCATCAGGACCGCTACCTCCGCCTTTGTGCAAGGAGGGACAGAAGCACTGCCAGAGCCCTGCAAAATGATCTCCAGCAGGCCACAAATGTGCATGTGGCTGCTCAAACGGTCAGAAACAGATTCCATGAGGGTGGTATGAGGGCCCGATGTCCATAGGTGGGAGTTGTGCTTACAGCCCAACACCGTGCAGGATGTTTGGCATTTGCCAGAGAACACTAAGATTGGCAAAGTCACCACTGGTGCCCTGTGCCCTGTGCAGGTTCACACTGAGCACATGTGACAGACGTGACAGGGTCTGGAGACGCCGTGGAGAACGTTCTGCTGCCTGCAACATCCTTCAGCGTGACCAGTTTGGCAGTGGGTCAGTAATGGTGTGGGGTGGCATTTCTTCAGAGGGCTGCACAGACCTCCATGTGCTCGCCAGAGGTAGTCTGACTGCCATTAGGTACCGGATGCTTTAGTCCAGGTGTGGGAAGAGATCCCTCAGGAGACCATCCACCACCTCATCAGGAGCATGCCCAGGCATTGTAGGGAGGTCATACAGGCACGTGGAGGCCACACACCGAGCCTCATTTTGACTTGTTTTAAGGACATTACATCAAAGTTGGATCAGCCTAGTGTTTTTTTCCACTTTAATTTTGAGTGTAACTCCAAATCCAGACCTCCATGGTTGCTAAATTTGATTTCCATTGATAATTTTTGTGTGATTTTGTTGTCAGCACATTCAACTATGTAATGAACAAAGTATTTAATAAGAATATTTCATTCATTCAGATCTAGGATGTCTTATTCTTGTGTTCCCTTTATTTTTTTGAGCAGTGTATTTTGAGAAGGTACAGGAATTTCACTGAGACAAAGCCAGCTTTTCATTCTCTCCACTGTTTAAGCAAGGACTGCAGAAAGCATTCAACCATCAGAATTATTTATTCAGAGTAGTAAACTTTATAGGACTTGATCTCATGGTACACTGAATATTTTATAGTCTTTTGTTTAAACAGCACAAATGATTTGAAAAACAGGCCTAATACACCACATCTTAAATTTCTGAGATATGATTTGCCAATAACTTAGTTCATATAATAGATTAATATGTAAAAGAAATTCCCCAAAACATGTACTAAGATCATGATAAATATTATACAGAATAATAATTAAGTTAGTATAATTGATCCAAACATGTCCAAAAGAAGAATAAAATCAAAATTTCCTCAAGAGCAGAAGGATTAATAATATTTACTTGGTCCTGCAGTGGTTCATGAATTTGGTTCCCTCAATAAAAACAATATGGGAAATCAAGCCTTAAAAAGCTAAGCATAACCTATTACCTGTATTGCATCATATGTGGAGTAAATTATAGTAAATATCCTGGTAAACAGTTTTAGGACTGCGTAAGTTCTTTGAGCTTTGTTTTATGAATTTGTTTCTGGATTTTTAACAAATGTTTCCAGGAATGTGTTTATTATGAGTAAATTTATCTTGAAAAAAACTCTGCAAGCATAATTCATGTAATCAGTCATTTGTACCTTCATTGTCAGAATGTGAGGATTATAAAACAATAAAATATTACTTTACCTACTGTCTTAGCAATTTCACATAAAGGAGAGATGTAGCACAGCACAGCACACTACACTTTACACTTTGCAATTGTGGGATAATGAGCAGAAGGGGTGATGCTATATTTTTTTCCATCATAATTTCCTTTCTTCTTAAAACACACGATTTGTATTGGAGTAACAAATGCACACTAGATACTGGCTATCCTTGAATGGAAAAAAAGTGTCACAAGTTGAAATGAGAAGCTTTCTTTTTTCCAACAGATGCCAAAACAGCAATAATTTTTTCACCCAAGATTTATAGTTAATTGGCAAAAATTGTCCCCAGCATGGCAGAAGAGGGCAGTAAGTCAATAAATCTCTATTATCTAAATCATTAGAAACATCCCTAGTTGGCAGTCTCAAAAAATGCTACTATTCTTTTTATATCGTCTCTTTTAAAGGCGGGCTCAATTACAGTTTTTTATGGAAATATTTTTATGCAAATATTGTTTTGGAGATTTAAACTTTTTTCAAAAAAAGCATAAATTATCAAGTCATGGTTACCTTAAATATAGTTTTAGGGCAGAGTTAATCCATCAGGGAGATTGGGGAAAAGGTTTTGTCAATCTGTGACAAGAAAATAAACATAAACTGAGCAGTAGCTTACACTAGCTTATGACTTAATAAACTTCGTTAG